AGCGGAAGTAAGCAGCTGTGTTTGCTGCAGGGCTTTTCAAAACCTTTGCTAAGCTAAGATGCCTTGTGAAGCTCTATGGGTGAGTGACATGCACAGCATTTCCCCAGACTCACTTGACCAAAGAACCAACAAGGCACATCATGAGACATATTTTGGGAAGAGTTGACCTTGTAGGCCTCTTTCTCTTTTGACTCCCAGGAAGCTTCTGTCTCCATCTGATGATGCTCACAGAAAGTTACCACATCAGCCGGGATCTTGGTATATTTATACCCCACCCCCACTCTGCGGTGCTGGTTTTTCTATTTTGGTTTTGAGATATATATATATGCAGGATGTCTTAGATGCTGTGTGGAAGTGAGGAGGGTGGGGAAGGCATTATCTGGAGATAAAGAGCCCATACTAGGACCACGGGCAATTCTGAGCACTTAGGAGCTGTGGGCTGGAGTGCAGTTCGCTGCTGTCACAATTCTGAAGACTGGGATGAATGCAGTCCCTTGGAGATTCCTTTGAAGCTCTGATTATTATTTTGTCCTGGGTGATGAAGAAAGGAGGGCAAGTGTCAGCATGTTTATGTCCTACAAGAACTGCTTAGGAAAGTAAAAGCAACCTTGTACTGGTCACCGCTGAACTCAACAGTGACATCATTTCTGTTGTTGCACTAAAAAAGGCAGAGGCCAGAGGTCATGGGCAGGAAGCCCTGGCTTTTGATGAGGTGGTCGTAGGTGCAGGTGAGCCAACGGGAGCTAAGAGCACCATAAGGGCCACAGGCCACAAGGAGCATGTCCCAGGAGCCTGCGGTCACGCTGTGTCCTGCCTCCTGGGGTGGTAGTGCAGGTGCTACAACTTCTGTGTTGAGCCCTGAGCCCCCAATAGATAAGTTTCTCTCTGTATGCTTCAGTTGATCTATGTGGGTAGTTGGGTGGACTGGGAGAGAGCGCACCTTTATTTCTTCTGTGTATTTCAATTTGCAGGGAGCAAACCATTAGTGGGGAAAGAAATCAGTTTAATGTGTCATGACCAGCATTTTATGACATGAACTGGAGTAGAAAGTAGTAGAATGCATTGGCTGTAGTAGGGGTTAAGTATTGCTTCATGAAAGAAAGATAGGTGAATAGGCACACAGATAGATAGATATGGGGTTGCAGTGTAAAAGGCATTGTGGGTGGTACTCAGCGACATCTGGAAGCCACTGGCTAGCAGATTCCAGGGGCTGGCACCAACTGGGCAGGGTGCATCTGCTCCCTGGGTCTGTCCTGGGCTCTGGGGTCCAGTCCCAAGCTGAGTTGTCCCTCCCTGCCCCGAGAAAAATGTACCCTGAAGAAAGGTGTTTGTGATGTCTCCCTTTGAAAGAGATATTTTTGTGTCAATCAGGCCACTCACTGGGCCTGGGAGCTCCTGCTGGAGGAGATGGGCATCCCCACTCTTGGCTGACAGGGGTGTCACAGTCAGCTGGAGTGTGTCCAGTCAGACTCTGCAGGCTGTGTGAGGAGGGGGAGCACTGGACTTGGTTAGAACCAGTTCTGGTTCTAATCCTGGGTCTGCCACTCACTGCTGTGTGACTCAGAGCAAGTGACTTGCCCTCTCTGGGCCTCAGTTTACTCATGTACAAGGGGAGGATTGGACCAGGTGATTTCTTTTCTAAGGTCTTGTCTTGTTCTTATAGCTGTTCCAGGGTGACACTGAGAAGATCTGGGTCTTGGAGGAAATCATAAAAGGGAAGCCAGTGTTGCCTCCAGGCTTCTCTCTAAGGCAGCGGTTCTCAACCCTTTGTGGGTCGAACAACCCTTTCACAGAGGTTGCCTAAGACCATCGGAAAACAAAAGATATTTACATTATAATTCATAACAGTAGCAAAATGACAGTTATAGAGTAGCAACAAAAATAATTTTATGGTTGGGGGTCACCACAACATGAGGAACTGTACTAAGGGGTCGCGGCATTAGGAAGGTTGAGAACCGCTGCTCTAAGGCCCCTGGAAGCAAAGGGTCTAGTCAGCCCGAGGTGCATCAGCTAGGTGTGTCTGTAACCCCGGTGAGGGGATGGCTGCTCCCTGGCGGTGCCCAGGGTATACAAAGACAGAGGCAGCTGAGCCTGAGCCTGGTCTCCATGACAGCATTTATTAGGCGCCATTCTCAGTGTGAAGACAGATAGGCAGGAGGGACTGAAGGGAGGCCGTGGCGGCCACAGCCTTTGGGGTCCAGGGGCTGCCCGGGATGGGGGTGTGGGTGTGGGGGCATGTCACCCACACGTATTGCATATTCTGTGGCAGTGTGCCCAGGCATAAGGCATTGGGGAAGCAGAAAGGCTGCCTGCAGTGGGAGGGGTGAAGGGGAAGCAACACTGGCCTTCCAGGACCCTGGGAAAGACCTAGCTGGAGACGGAGCAGTCTGCCATGCTCAGCCCAGGGCCATTCAGCCTCCTTCCCCACCATTTCCCTGCAACTTTGGTTGTGGCTCCCTCGGGACTGACAGGACAGGACCCCTCGAGGGCAGGGTCACACACAGGACAGAGGCATCCAGCACTGCCCCCTACCCTGACATAAACACAGAGGCCACCCCTGGGTCCTGGGCACTGCTCTCCTTGGCACGTGGACAGTCAGCTCCACACTGAAGCAGGACTCATACACAGGCCAGGCCAGACTTATTCCCTCCCAGGGATTCCCAGTGGCTGAGCGCACGGCTGGGTGGGGCGGAGGCTGATCACCCTGTGGGCCCCCACTCCAACGTTCCTGAATGCCAGGGTTGGCCTTGCTCAGCAGTGTTACGGAGCTGACATGGGAACAGCATGGGAAGGCAGTATTGAGTGGGAGAGGCCCCTCACCCCTTGATGCTGTCCTGAGTCAAGGTACTAGCTCTACCTGTGTGTCTCCACAGTGGAGCTTAGGGTCTCACCTCCATCTGCTGCTCTCCAACTGGGTTTCTGGGTTGCGGGTGGGGTAGGCAGTGGGCACACCAGGTCCAAGCACCCCATCTGGGTGGGGCGTTCCTTGCTGCAGCTTTAGCTTATCTCTAGCTACTTGGGACACAGGCACCAACACTGGCTGTGGGGCCAGGGATAACGTCCCAGTAGGGTCTGTCTGCCAGCTCTTCAGGCCATTCTGCCCAATTCCCAAACTTCTAGAACCCCAGCTCCTGGCCTTTTTCGGGTGAGACCCTGCCTTTCTCACTTTGGTCCCCAGGACTTCCCTGTTTGTAAGCAGGCAGTCCAGAGACTGAGGGGGGTCCTACCCTGCCTCAGGGCCCCATTCAGAGCCCTGCCTCCTGGCCAAGTGGAATAGAGGCTGAGTCCCAGAACTGGCTCAGGCCTGGGCTCTGGGTCTGGTTCAGGACCTAGTTGCCCACACGATGCCAGTGTACAGGACAGGAGCTTTGCTTTCAGGAGTGGGCAGAAGAGTTGGAAAGAAAGGGAACTCAGGCTGGCAACAAGCAGCTTGGGATCTTGTTTCTCTGTCACCTTGGGCAAGCCACATCACCTGTCTGGGTCTCACTGTCATTTATACAATGGGGATGAGAGCTCCTGCCATGGTGACCTAACTGGAGTGTTGTGAGAATCAAATGAGTAGTCAGGACAGGGTTTTTAGAGGCTAAAACCCATTCCACAGCTGTCAGAATTGGTAACTGTCAGTAGTGGCCGAGATGGCAATATGAAGTTTTCTGTTTGATTCCAAGGGTTTTATCCGGAAGGCTGGCTTCCCCTTGCCCACTCTGAGAATGTGACTGAAAGCCAGTTAGCGCTCACCTGCCAGTGGGACCACCCTGCAGACCATAGGACCACTGCCTCCCCTCCCCTTTTCTGCCCCTCTTGCAGCCTGTCTGTCCTTGCTTCTGTCTGCCTGCCCTCTGGGGACTAGCTTTAGGGACTGCTGGGTTTCCACTTTCTCCATAACTTTGCAAAGCCATGCAAAATAACATAGAAGGTAGTGGGAGGTTGGGAGACACAGCTGGGGATGGGGAAGGGGAGTGGACTGAGTGGGGGTGACCTGGACAAAGACACCCTGGCTTTTGGAGCCAAGGGAAGGTGGGAGACCTGGCAGGACAGAGGTATAAATAGAGATGCAAACATACACGGAACACGAAGTCCCCTTCGGATATTGGGGGG